TCATAAAAAATGAAGTTAAACGGACACCAAACTTTCAACATTTTTCAGGTGGAAAATTATACCAATCAAACACAATTAATTACAATTCCCAGTAAAATAATTTCTAGGCAATTCAATTCCCAGTAAAATATTTTCTTTCCACCCATTTTCCACATTTGCAACCAAACGAACCCTTATTTACAAAACCGATGTTTCAAGAAAAAAATTGAACAAAAAACATTATGAATCTCCACACTATACATAGATCAACAAATGATTGCTCTTTGCCGTTGTGGTTGATTTCACGTTTAAACTGGAGAGCTACCAAGTTTGTGAATGTTGATGTCTATATCATGGTGTGGGGGTACTGTTGGATTTTGTTTAGCACAGCCAACTGATGAAGGCATTGGAACAATTGGTAGCTGCTGCATTTCCAAATTACGAGTCTATTTTTTGGCCCTTGTTCCCCATAATATAGAAAATCCAGTAATACATAATCTCCAAAAAAAATCAATGAACTTTACTGAATTTGGTTTTCAATTTATTTTCCTCAAACAAATTTCTCTGTTCAAAAAACTTCATGGCAGGATACCGAATGTATTTGATAGGGAAAATTTAAAGCTAAACTAGTAATATTCGAATGGGGATTATATTACCCTTTTTTTTACTAGTAATAAAATTTGGCTCTTGAAGATCTTCTTCAACTAAAATATTTATGGCTATTTTTGTAAGTAAAAATTTGGCTCAAAAATGGCATATGAAAAACTCGTTACTAACACCCATTGTATCCATTTTCAAGTACTAGTCCTTTTGTAAAAAAACAAAAATATGTTGAACAACCACTGTATTCATTTTTAAAGTAGTATTGGATTTGTAAAATAATATGTTTTAAGGGCTTATAATAATTAGTTGCCTAGAGGCTCAAAATTCTCGGGGCTGGCTCTAATTTAATATTATGCTATGATTGCATATCATTGGGATGAACAAATTGACGTCTCAAGGGTTTAATTTATAGAGAATGAAAAGTTGTGAGTGAAGTGTCACGCCCCAAACTCAACAACCTTTGACAAGGGTTGCAACTTTTGCTGTCGCTAGCCTGTCATCCTTACATCGCTTGAGCGTCAGAAACAACTCTATCACTCAACTGTCGCTAGAATGACAATCTCCTTGCTAGAGCGCTAGGCGAACGACGGAGTTGGACAATATTCCAGCCAGTTTCCTCTCTTTTCTTCCGACTTTAGACCATAATTTCTCATTCATTTGGAATTGGTTTGGAGATTCCAAATATACGACGACAATCTACTCGACGAGTAGAATATGTTAGTCTATTTATTTTCATAATTTGAATATCGGATCAATTTCGAATATTTGGTCAAAATTGACTCGAAAGTCATTTTTTTATGATTTAATATTTAACCAATTCCAACAATCTCCCACATGAATGGAAATTTCAAAAAATGCAATCAAAAAATGCAAATGATATGTAGACTCCAACAAATGAGTACATATGAAAAGCTATAATATCAAGATAGGTGGCTGGTGGATAGATGGCTTGTGACTTTAAACCTTCCTTAGTTGAATACTATCGAATTTACTAGACTAAGTGGTGAACTCTCTTGAACCATTCAGCCGTTCATGTGAATCAAAACAAATGTACCAGCACCATAACTCATCTAACCATTTCCGTTATGTTGATTCCATTCAATATACTTCAGGCTCATTTCCCTAAAAAGATGGTATACTTGATTTCTAGTAAGTCCTTTCATCAAATGATTCGCTATATTTTCTTTTAATTTAACATAGTTAATCGAGATTATACCATTTGATGTCAACTATTTAATTGTATTGCGTCTTCGATGAATATGTCAAGATTTACCATTATAAATATTATTTGTACACTTCCAATTGCCGATTGATTATCACAATGTATATTAATCGCATGTACCAGTTTTTCCCAACATGGAATATTCTCGAGAAAATTATGAAGCCATTCCGCTTCTTCTCCGATTTTATCTAGAGTAATAAACTCAGATTCCATCGTGGATCGAGCTATATCGTAAGTTTGTTTGTGTAAGTTTACTTCTTTCTCTTTCTAAGGAAAAATATCTTCAAAAAATACAGCATTCCTTGATTCAACGATTGTACCTATATGTACATCAAGTATTTCAGATTTATAAACCAAAAATCGATATGCACTTCTATTGTTTGCATATCCGAGAAGGACACAATCGGTTATCTTAGGTCCAATCTTTACTTGTTTAGGTTTAGGTATTTGTATTTTTGCCAAACACCTCCATACTTTAAGATATGTGTAGGAAGTTTTTCGACATTTCCATAACGCATAAGGTGATTCATTCTTACTCTTGCGTGGTATGTTATTAAGGATATGATTTACCGAAAGTATAGTTCCTTCACCCCTCCCCCCCAAAACAAGTTTTGAGGTAAGCTTGAATTTATCAACATTGTATTCATCATTTCCTTAAGTGTTCGATTCTTGCGTTCAGCAACACCACTAGATTGAGGTGAGTATAGCACCATTGTTTGAAGAATATTCCAAAATTTGAACAAAATTTTTCAAACGGTACAACATATTCTCAATCTCGATCACTACGAATCGTCTTCATCATTTTTCCAAGTTGATTTTCAACTTCAATTTTATAGTGTTTAAACACTTTCAAAGCTTCATCTTTACTTTTCAACAAGTATATATAGCAGTATCTTATACAATCATCTATGAACATGATAAAATACTTTTTACCACCTTTTGTTTGGACGTACTTCAAGTCACATATATCGGTGTAAATAAGTTCCAAAAGTGTTGTGATATGTTCGACTGAATGAAATAGCGCTTTGGCTAACTTAATTTCTACAACAATTTTGCATTTTTCATTTGTATTAAAATGCATATTCAGTATTAAACTTCAATTCATTAGTTTGTGTATAGAATTAAANACCCGACACTAAGTTATTGCGAATATCTCACACATTAAGAACATTATTAATGTAAGTTCCTTACCGATGTCATCTTCAAAATAAATTTGCCTTGTCCTTCAACCTTTGAATTTGAAGAGTGTTCCATGAAAAATTTCTCACCATCAGTCGGAGTGTAGGATAAGAACATTCTTTTTGTCGACACAAATATGACGGATAGCATATGTATCCACCCACATTTCCATTGAATTTCCAGTATTTTGCATTCTGAAATTACGGCCGACAAATTTATATCTGATATACCATTAGTTATTGCATCAGATCTGGTGATATTCACTTAGGATTATTTTTTAGGTTTAAACAATCAACAGAGCGATATCCGATATTTGCACAATTATAACAATTGCTCTTGAACTTCTTTGCATTCTTCTTGGATGGTTCGACGTAATACTTTCTTTTATTATAGGATTCTACCACATAGCCTTAGCTTGTCATATATGGCTTCCAACACACTTTTCAGAATTTCAATTATCTTTTTCAATTCTCAACCGGACAATGAGTTCTTCAATATTTGTATTCTTGCGCTTATGCTTGAGATAATTTTCGAAGTCCTTCCACACGGGTGGAAGTTTCTCGATAATTGGAGCCAATTGAAATGATTCACTTGGAGACATATTCTCTGCGTGAATTTCATGGAGTATAACCTGCAATTCTTGTACTTGACTGATGACCGTTCTAGAATCAACCGTTTTATAGTCTAAGAATTTCCCCACAATGATCTTCTTATTTCCGGCGTCTTCAGTCTTATATTTCTTTTCCAAGGATTCCCATAGTTTCTTTACAGATTTCGTGAAACTATACACATTATATAATGTGTTATCCAACCCATTCAAAGTATAGTTTTTACATGAGAAGTCGGAATGTTTCCAAGGATCCAATGCAAACAATAATGATCTATTATTTTTCCCTTCTTGTACGGCGCGAGTATTTCTTTCAAGAGTTTTACCAAGTTTAGGGTCATGAGATAGAATAACATTTTCTACTGTCATCTCTTGGAATCAATCCTACTAAACTTCTCCTGTTTCTTTCCATGTGGAACAGAATTAGTATGAA